GTTGTATGACAGCTCCATTTTTTTTTTCAAGACTTAGACAAACTTATCTGTTCTATATCATGTTCTTTAGGGGATGACTGTCTTTCATATAGTCATTTGTCTGTTTGCCTCCCCAAAGCATCACAAGAAATTGCAGACAACTGAGTGTGTGCTGTGGAGACCTCTAATGGGCCGAGGGGAAGACAGGAGGAAGGCTGGGAATTCTTGGTTTATAGTCCAGTCAGATTCCGCCATTCCCTCGCTGTACCTCAACTGGGCATGAGAAGTGGTGTGTGTTAAATCACTCATTGAAAAAAAGGTCACTCCCGCCCATAGCCCTGTAACACAAGAATCTGCAACAGCACAGTTTATTGTGTTGAATTATGTAAATGCTTACCCCTTCCTTCCTCTACTCTGCCTTCACTAGCTACAATATTTCTTGTAATCCATTGTGCATTCCTGATGATACCAATCTATTTTCTCCATCCTTTGGCTATATCCACCTTCCCAGTGTCCTTAGGAGACTGGCCACAAAATCCACGTTTTATTGCAAGAATATACCATTTCTCATTTTCAACTCCTGTTCGGCTTTCATGATACCTGGCTAATTCTCATTTCTACCTTTCCTGTGGTCTTATATGTTTATAACTGACAATATATCCTCTGATTCTTTTTTAATGTGTGTATGTGTATGATACATGAGCGTATATGTGTATGTGCATGTTTGTGTCCATCAGCGTAGACATACTAGTACAATAATTCATAGACAGAAGTCAGAGGAAAAGCTTGGGTGTCGGTTTTAGCATCTCACCGTGTTTGCAATAGTGTCTCTTGCTACTACGGTGTGCAGAAAATTATCTGGCTGGGAAGCTTCCACAGATGCTCCTGTCTCTGCCTCCCATCTCACAAGAAGAGTGCAGCAATTATAGATGTGGGCTGCTCTGTTCAGGTTTATGTGGTTTCTGGGTATCCACACTCAGGTCATCATACTTTAACTGCAAGTTATTTTATCCACTATGCTTTCTCTCAGCCCGTTATTTCCAGTTCTGATCTTTGACACTAACCAGATGTTTTCCTTTTGCAGACATCATCAGCTCTTCTCTGTTACATTTCTCCGTCCACCCACCCTTCTACAAAGTTCACCCTCACTCACACATCACTCAGCAGTAGATCTGCATTCCGAGGAGCACGTCAGTAGACAGTTTTACTCTTGTGAGAACAGCATACAGAAGTCATGCAAATGAAGAAGGATACAGTTAACAAACCAACATAAAGCAATGTGGCCACTGTCATATGCCATCCATATTTGAACCAAATGTCATTATTTGGTACATTTAATTTGCCTTTAACAGATTCTGTTACCAATTTATACACTTATTTATGTATAAACAGAACCTGGTTGAAGAGTGTCCGCTGGCAGTCACGTAGCCTCGGTGGATTTCACAGCCCCACGAGCCTTTGTGGAAACTCTGGAGTATACTATGCTGTGAAAATGCAGTCTTAGGGTTACATGCTTCCTTTACCCATATATTTTCCTCAAATAATAGCAAGAATATTTTGCTTATAACAGAATTCTAAATTTTGTATTATTCTATTTTGAGTATGGAGGTATTTTGCCTGCGTGTATGTCTGTGTGCTGCGTGCTTGGTGGGTGACTGCTAAGTCCAGAAGATCCCCTGAGAATGGAGTTATAGAATGTTGTAATATACCATGTGGGTGCCAGGAAGTGAGCAGCAAATGACCTTAACCACTGAACCATCTCTCCAACTCCCATAAACTGGAATATAAGAACAACTGGTGCTGGTAATGACTGATTGGGTACCAAATAGAAGCATTTGGTACCATATATCTGGTTTGATACTTTTTTTGCAAATCCCATTTTCCCTTTTCAAAGCACTCCATAACAGTGTGTACTTAATTCCTCATACCGTCCACAAATGTCCTCATCTCACTGAAGGGAAAGGCAAGGAAAGTTAAAGTGTGATGGCCAGTTTTTATATAAATTAATTCAAAAGTCTACCCAATAGTAATGATAACCATTAACATACTGTCAGAGTTGTCGTAAATTGTTCTTTCATCCAGTACATATTTCTTTCCTGCTAAAATAAACTGTGGGCTTTTACTTCAATGTGGCAAATAGGTAAAATGTTACTAAGAATAGATATATAGGACTGAAAATAAGTTCATGTCTTCAGAGTCTAAATTCACATGTACTTAGCTCTCTTTAGTTGCTTTTGTCACAATGTTAGAAGACAGGTGGAGGTGGTGTAGCTTTCTTCCATCTTTGTCCTCTTCGTGCTGCTTCATCTTGGTGCTATTCTTGAGTGAGTTTGGTATCTTGGCAAAGAGGTCCTTGTTTCTACTCTAACTTGAAAAAGTCAGAAGCTAGTACCAATGCCAGTTACTGCTAAGCCTCAAAGTTTCGAGGGAAAGAAAAATTAGAGAGTGGTTGGTGTTTCTGCATTCTCCGGTGCAAATGATGGGTGCTGCCTGAGACATAGGTGGTTCCTGTTTGAAACAGAAGTCATAATCTATTTTTCCAGTGTACCAACACAGTGTGGTATCTGATATCTCCGTGAGTCATCTGTTTGTATAAGCCATATCTAGTGTCAGCAAGTAGTTCTTCAACACATGGTCTAGCAAGTGTACTTATAATCAAATATATTTCTAGAAACACATAGATAGTCACCTTTTAAATTTAGTAAGTAAATTTTATATGTGTGGAACAATATCAAGAAAGGTATTTTATGCTAACTTATAGGTATATATATCTTAAGCTTAGATCATCATTTTATTGTTTTGTAATTATCGGGCACTATTTATTCCATTATGATTATATCCTTTCAAAAGTTCTCAAAGGATTCTTCTCTCATTGTAAAGTCAGCTTGAAGGACCCAGAAAATCTTGCTTTGTGCTCCTGATAAAACAGATATGAGCTTTTTTGGAACAGGTCTTTCACTGCACACACACACACACACACACACACACACACACACACTTTGTGAACATGAAGAACTGTTAACTTCCTTCTTGAATTCCTGTGGATAAACCCTAGATAGAATGGCAAGCGGAGCTATCCCAATTTTCCCATCCCAAAATATTCCTCAAAGTTGTGGGAGGCTGCTATTTCTTTCTGGGTATCGAGTTCTATAATGCTCAGGTGTGCTTGCAAACAGAGAAAAAAGAAAATGACTGAAATATTCATTAAAGGCACAGCTGTGCTAAGCAATTTGGATATGTTCATATTATCCCCCTCAGGGCTAAGGTATGAGAGTGAAGAAAAGTGAAGCAGGTAAAGACGACTGTTGTAAAAGTCATCTGTTCCCCTCCACTACACGTGGGGTGGGTCTATCTGAGGCTTCAGGGCCTTCTTGCACAGTGTTCCACATGGCGCTCTTAAACATCTCCTCCAAAATGAATGGAACAGGCAGGCACGAGAGACATTTCAGAGCCTTCACAGCTTATTAAACCTCAGTGTGGAAAGCCTAAAACTGTCCCTCCTTACTGGCCCAAATTAAGCTGTTCACCTCTGTAAGAAAAATATTGGCATCAGAGCTGATTCCTTAAGAAGGTGCGCTATCTGTATTAATATTATGGCAAGTTGGCGGTTTTCAGATCCATAATTGACTTTTATATGTAAAGTTTTCCTTACAGACTTACCGTTTTTTGTTCCTGAATACACAAAAGACTTAAATCTTTAGAACTATAGTGACAGGTGAAAATTTAGCTAACTCTTTTATTTTCCAGGTTAAAAAAAAAATTGTATTTTAGAAATACATTTTCTCTGTGTCTCTTTGCCTCTTCCTCTACACACAAAAACACATACGTGTGTGTCAGTTTATACATGCATATTTATATAAAATATGTTGAGTGCATTATTTCCTAAATAGTCTTTATATAAAATAGATACTATTTAAGTGTGTTTGTAGACAAGAGAATAAATTCTTGTATGTAGAAAAAGGAAATTGAACATTCTCCTTGAGTAACATGAAAAATCCTTTTCTTTTAGATTTTTCTTTAATTATGTGAATGTGTCATTGTGTGGGTTTGTGAATGTGAGTGATGGGGCCCACGGCTATGTCAGGGGCCCTTGGAATTAGAGTTACAGGCCATTGTGAGCCACCGACAACCAGTGCTGGGAACTGAACTCAGGTCCTCCGAAAGAACACAACATGCTCTTAACTGATGAGCTCTAGTCCTCTGAGCGTTTCTTAATCCCTCAAGGACTTCGAAGCTACATGTGTCCTCATCCAGTGAGCTCTCTGCTTTCAGGGAACAGAGGAGAGCCTTTGTTGCTCAAATGCAGAGTAAATAAAGTTAGTTAGAAGAAAGAGTAAACTTTCATGGACTAGAGCCTGGCCAAACACACAAACCCTGATGGCTTCTGTACTCAGAACCCAAGGGCCTGTGTGTCCAGGGCAAGTGAGAGCAAGGAGCACATGCTTTTACATCCATGATCTAGTCTCTCTTTTGACACACGTGCCGCTCACTAGTAAAATACAGTGAGAAATCAACTACCTCTTCAATGCTTATTAGAAGAGAAAATCAGTTCTATTACTGATCAGGTTTCTCTCTAGAAACAGTGCAGCCTTGAAGTTCCTCCTGTTATATCATTAGCAACAACGAAGGAAGGTGGGAGAATAGGGAGATGAGGGAATTTGCCACCGGTCTCCACAGGGGCCTCTTCAACTGGTCTGTTTATGTGAGAGAAGATTGTGGCAGCTGTGCCTGTTCCCCTCTATTGTTTATGAGAGGTCTGGCATGACCTCAGCAGGGCTGAGCCTCTGAGATGAAAAGAAAGCCCAGGTCTGACAAGTGAATGTTGCAGTTTTTTCACCCTGGTGTGAAGCACTAGTGTTAGAAGCTTCGGAGAAGGGTGGTGCTTGCTGCCTGTGCCTCTGAAGGCCAGGAATGAAGTCCATTCAGGAGTGTGACCATTGCCCCATGTGTGGCTTCTCCTTCCAGCACAAGGTTCTAGAAATGTCCTCATTCTTATCCCTTTGTCCTCTGTCCTTTGACAGATTCTGACTTGAGCATGCGTACACTGAGCACGCCCAGCCCAGCCTTGATATGTCCACCGACTTTGCCAGGATTTCAGAATGGAAAGGGCTCGTCCACATCTTCATCCTCCATCACCGGAGAGACGGTGGCTATGGTTCACTCCCCACCCCCGACCCGCCTCACTCACCCACTCATTCGACTCGCCTCCAGACCCCAGAAAGAACAAGCCAGCATAGACCGACTCCCAGACCACTCCATGGTGCAGATCTTCTCCTTCCTGCCCACCAACCAGCTGTGCCGCTGTGCACGAGTGTGCCGCCGCTGGTACAACCTGGCCTGGGACCCGCGCCTCTGGAGGACTATCCGCCTCACGGGCGAGACCATCAATGTGGACCGTGCCCTGAAAGTGCTGACCCGCAGGCTTTGCCAGGACACCCCCAATGTGTGCCTCATGCTGGAGACTGTGATTGTCAGTGGCTGCCGGAGGCTCACAGACCGAGGACTTTACACCATTGCTCAGTGCTGTCCAGAACTGAGGCGCCTGGAAGTCTCAGGATGTTACAATATCTCCAACGAGGCCGTCTTTGATGTGGTGTCCCTCTGCCCCAACCTGGAACACCTGGATGTGTCAGGTAAATAGAAACTGACTCAAAACCTGGGCCTTCCTACTGTACCACCTCAGAGTAGTGGAGACATTGCTACACATATAGGGTTCCCATCTCTTATTAGTATTTTTTATGTGTTGTAAATTATGTGTATATGTGCATCCGTGTATAGGTATGTTTGTGTGACGGCAGGTGCCCACAGTGTCCACAGGGAGGGTAGTACATCCTCTGGAGCTGGAGTTGAAGGTGCTGAGGGCTGTCCATCGTGGGTGCTGGGATCTGAACTCAGGACCTCTGGAAGAGCAGTATGTGCCCTTAACCACTCAGCCATCTCCAGCCCCCAGGGTCTCCTTGCCAGCGATCTACAGTGCATGGTAGAGGCTAACCAGCAACTGGTCAGAATCTCACTTATGGAATCATAACCCTGAAGACCAGAAGGAGCCTTAACATCTGCTTCTTGAAGGAACTATGAGCACCTTGGTCCTGACAGGTTGGGTCAGTTTGCTTTAAATGTGCCCTTACACTCCAGAATAACCATGCATCCTGGGGAACAAATTTCCCATTAAGGCAAATAGAAGGAAATAGCTCATTGAACAAGTAGTTCAGAAACTAGCCTGTTGTGTTTGTTATGAGCTAGTAGAGCCTGTGAGCGATGGCAAGGCCACAGCACTGCCCCATAATGCCACATGCTGAACTGACAGTCCACCACGGGGAATAAGACTCTGGCCTGGGAGCTGTGCTCACAAGGGCTTGCCTTCTCTCAAACAATGGGGAAGTCTGTCATGGTCAAGTGATGCCCGCCATACTCTTTTCCTTGGGGTTAAATTTACAGCTCTTTTAAAGCATGTGCTCAGTTACACAGCACAAGTACAGGGTCCATTGAATCTAACTTTTCATTCTTTCAAAAATGGAAGGAAATCCCAGTGTAATTGCTTTACTTAAAAGTCTCTCTTAGGCAGGAAGAATTAAAGCCCAGAGTCAAACTTTGGCGCCAGACGGGGGCCCAGCCTAAATAGCAGCCCTCTCCCCACCTCCTTTTTAAATCTCATCTGCTATACAGTCAAAAGATGAACATTCAAGAGGCTGACATGTGTAAGATATGTCAGAGAAGCATGAGCCGCGACCTCAGGAATGGCTGGGGAAGGGTCGAGAAGTAAGACCCACTGTGTCAGGCAAATAAATAGAATTTGGGATTTATAAGAATCTGGAGTAAATGATGCCCTTAAAAAAATACTGGAGGGAAAACAGCTTCCAGCTTATTCTGTCTTTCAGAAGCCAACATCTGAAAGTATTTCAGCTGACAGCCCATTATTTTTGCAGATTCTTTCCTTGGCTGGAAAGCTGCTTACTGCTCTTCTACTTGAGCTGGCTTCAGGACAAAGCCATCGTTACTGTATGTTCGATTAGTCATGAGCAGCCATGGGCAGACAGAAGTGGGAGACAAGGAGGCTTTCTTAAAGTCTCCCTCCAAGGAACCCTGGAAAACGTGGAGCATTGTGATGTGGTAGATGCCGACCTGTTTCAAAACTGAGATTTGGAGCAATTCACTCGACACTTAGCGCTAAGACTTGATGTGTTTTCTCTTCAGCTAAGAAATAAAATTGACAAACTCTGTACCAGTCTTGTCATCTGAACACTCTGTTGTATTTTCTCAGACTAAGAAATGACTTGATTTGAATTCCCAGCTTTGTTGGAGTCTGTTCCCAGGTGTCCTTCCTAGAGAATGCAAGAAATCATGGTCCCTTTGAAGTTCTGAAGTAGCTGAAGCGACCTTGGCTTTTTAGTAATAACATTGTCGGTCTTTCTGACCTGAGTGAGCTTGCTGGACCACTGGACAAGCCTTTATGATGTGCTTCTAGCTGTCCTCTTCCTCAAGCTCATTTTGGGGCTTATAAATATTTGTATAGCTTCGTGACAGATTGCTGGCACCACCAGAGATGTATACATCTATGCAGGAGAACGAGAGAAATCTATGGCTCACTAAATTAAAATGGAATTTCACATTTAGGTGGTAGAGATGGACTTGAAAGGGTTTCAGGTTGGACTTAAGGACAGCACCTGCTGAAAGTCCCCTCCATTTCTGGGCATGTTTGGAAATGGTTGTGCCAAAACAGAGAGAGAGACCAGAAGAGTGCCAAAGCTGTTTCACTACTCGCTGCCCACCGGCCTTGGTTTTAAGCTGGCTTCAGACAGTGGCTAAAGCTCTAAGGACAGCAAATTTGAATTTGAAAGGCTCATTTTCTGGTCCTCTAGTTCAAATCCTCTAGATGGCATGAAATTACCTGCCCCAAATTTAACAAGGTAGAGAGGCTCAGGTTTAATGATACATTTTTTAAAATCTCTGGTAATTACTATAACCAGTTATAGCATCTTATCATTATCACAAATTACCCTTTGTTAGTATTTTAAACATAATTAGGGTATGTTAAAACCAACTAATCTTCAAAACAAAATGTAATTGTTGCATGTAAATTTATTTCAAATGGGCTCTCTCCAGCAGGCACCCATTTCTCTCCCTAATCTTTTCTTGCTAATCAGCAGAATCCTATCTAGGCCATCCTAATTTCCCAGCCCCCTAAGTCCATCTCTTCTCCCTTCCTGCCTGCCTGCAGGAGCACTTCATCAAATCTCCAGTTGCTCTCATTCTCAGACTAAAAGGAAATATGTTTTTAATGTTTTTCATTAACTCCCAAATTAAGACCCCAAATGAGCTGTCCTTCCAAGACTCAAATTCCCATTCTACAAAACTTCTCCAGATCCCAAACACAAAAGTACCTGTAAATACAGTGATGCATGTCAACCTAGATTGGCTCCATGCTAGTCCTTTTTCTGCTCCCTCCCCAAACCTTCCCAACAGCTCTCTTAAGAGACTTGCCATTTCCCAGGTGGAACCTCAGCACAGCCTTCCACACCAAATGTCTGATGAGCCAAGGATTTCCTCTTGCTGTCTTCATTTTGAACATAGACAGCTAAAACATCACTTAATTTACATTCTGGTATTTGCGTCTTCCTGGATCCCATTTTTTTCAAGTCATGAGCTATTTTTTGTTTTGTGTATGGGCACAGATGAGGGATTTTTATCTTGTATTTGAGGATCTTGTAATTAAATAAAAACATGAGTTCAAAACCCTGAACTCCTTGTCTTGAAAGAGTAAAAGTTTCTGTTGGTTAATACACCAAGCAGTATTGTCGAAGCTGTAGAGTAGCTGAAAACTTAGGATAGCTTAGGTTTAGATGAGTTTATTGTGTTAAGTCATTGCATGTGCTTTGTTGAGAAACATGTAGCAAACACTCATTAAACAGCAACAATTGCTTCTTGTTGTATTGTTATCAACAAGCTTAGAAGTTACTGATTGGAAGTTCACTGATTGGACTATCTTGCATAATAGGGAAAGTGGAGATACCCTCCCTCAACCCCAACCACCACACATATTAAAGAGATTAAATCATAGTACAGAGAAAAATAGTGAAAGCTGCCAGTAAGACTTGTTTAACAGTTGTTCATCTTGGTGGAATAGTGTTCAACCCACTCTTTATTCTGCACTTTAAGGCAATCTCCCATGTTCTAGTCACAGCCTCCCATTCCTTATTGTCCATTAAATTCTTCCCGAAAGCCTAAGTTTCACCTCAGTAACATTCCTCGCTCCTCCAGGTACTGAGTGATTTCCACTCTCTCAAATGTGGCTTCCTTTGCTTCAGTCTCTGGACTTTGTATCTGTGTATGCAAGTCATTTCTCTTTGATGATCTCCTTAAATACCGCTGCCTCAAAGAGCTCATCACCAGTGTCTGGGTGTTTGCCTCCTAAAGGCACATCTACTATAAATCCCTGTGTAACCCACAATTCCGTGGCATGTCATAGTTTTTCTTACCTCCCTCTTTTCTTTTTTTTTTTTAAAGTTGTATGTTGGTTACATTTATTAAAAAAATTCTTTGTACAAAAGCTAATATCTTTTGAATAATGTGATGTAGAAATATACTGATGTTTACAATAAAAACTTTGGATTGTATCAATCCCAAATAACAAATACATGGAAGTATTTTATATTCAAAGAATGTTCTAGAGCCCACAGAGTATATAAAAGAGTATGCAATTTTTAAATTATTAACATTTTAGTAAAATGTTAAAGGTTGCAACTTGCCAGATTCATCATGAAAAACAGGCTGAGTCCAAGAACACATATATGTGTACATAAACTTACAGTGTTCAGAAATGTAGCTAGGTAATATGAAGATTATACATATACTTTTCAAAGCATATACATATTTAATACAAATATATTCACACACAGCTTTGTTATTCACATATGAATATACATGATTGATAATGGAATGTGTGTTGGTTAGTATTTGTTAACTTGCAAAAATTAGCATCACTTAAAAAGGGAAAACCTTAAATAAAATAGTTTCCTGTAAGCATGTCTGTTAACCTCCCTCTTTTCATTGAAGCTTGACAGTCGTGAAAGAAGCCTGGGTGTGAACAGTCATGAAAATAGCCTGCGTAGAGAAGGCACTTGAGGCACAGGCTTCATTCTGTAAAACTGAAATTTAAATGAATGATTTCTTAGGGTTCCTTTATGTCTGTAAAAATAGGAATGCATGAACTATCCATTAATATTACTAAACCATGAAAAATTTATTTTCTTTCCAATACAAACTGAACAACTCCATAAGACTTAGAGATAGCCATAACATTGAATTTATTGATAGAAAGCAATACCAGCATATCAAAATCATTTACTGCAACTATACTGAACTAATATTTTCTTAAAATTGAAACTCATTTTAAGACATATTTTTGCCTAAATATTATGTCTTTCTAGCAACAAAAGATTTTGCTAGACATTAAGAATGTAGAAAGGAAACCAGAACCAAAATAGAGGAATAAAATTTATTATATAACAGAATAAAACAAAAATGCTTTCACAGGCAACACAGATAAGAAGAAAAATGCAAGATATGCAGGATTGCAGTCATCCCAAAGAAAGAAACAAATGGAAAGAGCAGACTTCAAAACAACCACCTCCCAGAAACCCCCATGTTGCCCCCATGAAGCAGTGTGACCAGCTCCGGAAGAGCCAGAATGTGGGGTGTCTGAAGTGAGGTGCCTAGTTGTTCACCAGCAGCAGGAATCTGATAAGAAGAGGGAAAATGAGAAGCAAATGTATGTAGTAGAACAGGAGAGGCTCTAAATATATATTTCTATAATATATATTAGTGGGTATTGGCTATTAATATAATAAAAGTTGTCAATGTATGTTTTATAAAGTACTATTTAATGAACATTTTATTATTATATGCAATCCTATACTAATTAAACTGTACAATATGACTATATATATATAATTTTACACACAGTTTTTGAGGGGTTAAGAGTAATGACTAAGAGTTATCCAAAATTATCTTCTTGTACATCACCATTCTCTAAATAGTTTCTTTAAAACTATTAAGAACAGATAGAAATATTCAACAAAGTTTTTTCTAAACTTCATAAGTCAACGCAAATAAAAGACATTTCTATTAACTATTAAATAAACAACTATTTTTTAATAGAGATATACTTGAGCTAAGGCCAAAGTCTGCAGACATACAAATGTCAGAGTTTTCAATTCCCTCATCTAGTGAATTATGGAGAACGTTCCTCTGTAAATCATTTCTTCCCTCCCTCATTCATTCACCAGGCATAATTCCTGTCAGCTATAAACTGAATGCAAGAGGTGATCAGCCTGCCTGAGTGGTTTCCCTCAGGAACTTGCATTCCAGAGTAAGGAAACAGCAAATAAATAACCGAACAGATTAACCAGCAATTCGACCAACTGATGAAAATGCTTAAAGTAAGGGGCAAAGTCAGCGATGCTTTATACACGACCATCCAGGAAAACTTGTCCAGTAACCTAACGTTGGGGACCTAAGAGAGTTGAAGGCGGTTCCTGGAGCTATCTGAGGAAAATCCTTCCATAATGCAGGCCCAGGGGCTGCAGGGCAGACAGAGGTGCTGTCTGGGAAGTGGCAAGGACACAGTAGGGTTAGTAGTAAGAGCACAGGTATGCCCTTGGAAGACCTGTTAGACTAGACTTTACGCTTGATGCAGCATGGCCACCATCAGCCCAGGGAACCCAACCAGGCTCCAGAGCTCTCTCTCCTGATCCCTCGCTCTCATTTCATTGCTTTGAATCGAGAAGCTACTAGATCACTGCTGGACCTTTTGGGACTCCCTTAGCTTCATAGGGTCACAGCAAGACTCACTCCATTAACAGCTTCCTTGCAGGCAAGGGGTTCCATTTAAGAAAAGAAATAAAGTGTGATTTGCCCCCAAGACATGTAGCCAATCTTGTTAATTTTTAAATTTTAATAATTTAAATTTTAATTTTAAAGCCTGAAAAATCCCTTAAGCCCCCAATTCAGCAAAATTGCCAAATTAAAAAAAAGTATTGGGTTATTTATTATTTATTATTAGCCCTATGATTATCATGGCAGTACTATTTAACCAGTTATCACAAACAATAAGACACAGGCACCTGTTAGATTTATAATTGCCTTATTTACCTTGGGCCGGGCAGATATTTGAGCACGCTGGCTCAGTATCGTCACAATCCATCTCCCATCCCCCATCCAATGCCATCCATCCTAATCCTCCTCAGCTGGACTACCTCTCATCCATAATCCAATGGTACTTGCTTTTATTCTTTATCCGGGCCTTTCCACACCATTATTGGAGTCCTTTCTCCAGTCCCACGTGGTTCCTTCTCCGTGCTAACCCATTGTGGCATCCTCCTTCCTCCTTTCTTCCCGTCCTGTCTGCCTTGACATTCTCCTGAACCCCCAAACCTGGGAACCTTAGCCACGCCTACCCCATTCTGCACGGCACAGGTATAGGTTGTTTAATCAACCAATCATGTATAATACAGACAGGTTACACAACAAGGGTAGGTTTACCAAATCTCGAGGGCCAGCGTCCCAACAATAACCCTGTAAGCAGAAAGCCACTCTTAAAGCGCTTCTCTGTAGAAGTCAAAACCAGAAGTGTTAACTCCTGGGCTGAGCTAGAGAGAGGGTTAAGAATCGATTACAGCTCCCTGGAAATCAATTTTCTGCTCCGGCAGTTTGATCTGAGCATGTGTTCTGTGTCTTCACACAGGGTGCTCCAAAGTTACCTGCATCAGCTTGACCCGGGAGGCCTCCATTAAACTGTCCCCCTTGCATGGCAAACAGATTTCCATCAGATACCTTGATATGACGGACTGCTTCGTGCTGGAGGATGAAGGCTTGCACACCATCGCAGCTCACTGCACGCAGCTCACACACCTGTATCTGCGCCGCTGCGTCCGCCTCACTGATGAGGGCCTCCGCTACCTGGTGATCTACTGCACTTCCATCAAGGAGCTGAGTGTCAGTGACTGCCGCTTTGTCAGCGACTTTGGCCTACGGGAGATTGCTAAACTGGAGTCCCGCTTGAGGTACCTCAGCATCGCCCACTGCGGCCGCATCACGGATGTGGGCATTCGTTACGTGGCTAAATACTGCAGCAAATTACGCTACCTCAACGCGAGGGGCTGCGAGGGCATCACGGACCATGGCGTGGAGTACCTTGCCAAGAACTGCACAAAACTTAAGTCTCTGGACATTGGCAAATGTCCTCTGGTCTCCGACACGGGCCTGGAATCCCTGGCTTTGAACTGCTTCAATCTCAAGAGGCTAAGCCTCAAGTCCTGCGAGAGCATCACTGGCCAGGGCCTGCAGATCGTGGCTGCCAACTGCTTTGACCTGCAGATGCTGAATGTCCAGGACTGTGAGGTTTCCGTGGAGGCGCTGCGGTTTGTGAAGCGCCACTGCAAACGCTGTGTCATTGAGCATACCAACCCTGCTTTCTTCTGAAGGGACAGCTCCCGCTGGGCGTGTTTTCACAGCCATGGGATCCAAACAGTGTTTTTATAAAAGCAGCCCATGTAAGCATCCGCACCCACTCACCACCAGCATTGTCTCGCAGGAAGGTTCTTAGGAGGCTGGCTTTATTTTTATTTTTATTTCTTATGAACAAAAGATGTCCACGAAACGAAGGGGGGTAGGAGCCAAATTTCTACCATGGTAAACTGGTTCTGGTCAGTTCATTTTTAGACATATCCTCTGACAAAGGATGCACCTCAGCAGGCTGGTCACTGTGTCTCTAGAAATGCACCTTACCCCGTTTTGCCTTTCCCCTCCTATACACAAGCTACACCCCTTCCAACCTGGTAGCAGTTGTAGCATAAAGCATTTGAAGAAAGTTCTCTAAAGCTGCTCCTTAAACTATTTGAGGGGCATAAGCCCCACACCTAAATCTCACACCAAGCCAATTGTGGTTAAAGTAATGTCAACACTTCGTGTGTGCAAAGAGCTTTCCTATGCTGATACATTACAGCAAATCACATGGAGTATGAAAAGATATGTTTTCTCTCCCAGCTCTGCCACTAACTAGCTGTGTGACCTTGGTGCAAGCACCTCAGCTTTCTGGGCATCAGCTTCCCACTACCAGAGGCCATGAGTAGGGGATTAGCCTCGTGACTATTTTAGAACTGAGAAGACAAAGATGCCAATAAGTGCACGAGCTTTGCATAAAGAACACAGGCAGCACATCCAAGAGAACTGAGGATGAGCTGTGCTTTCAGAAGTTTCCATGGGGTCCCTGTCCGTGCACACAGGGTCCTGCTTGGCTGTCTCTTTGCTCTCATCTGAGACCCAGCACAACTCTGTTTAGTGGGCTAGGTTTGGTACATCTGCCATGTTGGGCGTTTAGACTTACATTCCCAAGTGCAAGGGCACTCCCTCACCCCAGCACATCCTCCCCAGGCAGGAGAGTGCGTCATCACAGAAAGCCCCTATCTCCCCATCAGCTTGTATCCTCTGAGCAATTTCAAATCCAAGTAAAGACCCTTATAATTTTTAATTAACAAGTGAAGCCCAAGGGAAGCTATGTCCTTAAAGGTTTCTCTAATCTTTCTCAGTGCACATACGCTCTGCTTCAGGAACATCTGTCCTGTAAGCCAGCAGGGACAGATGCCTTGGCCCTTTGTCATTCACATATCACTTTGACTTCTCTCATCTATTTATTTCTTCATCACATGAAACCTACTGGGGATAAGTTTATAAGTGTTTAATTGTACACACGCCCCCTTCCCTGCTGTCTACGTGTTTTTCACTAAAGAATGTAAAACAGACCTCCAGGTGTTCCGATATTGTTCACTCAAAAGTGTCAGGCACACAGAAGAGGGAACACACGGATAAGACAGATGCTGGTCCACCCACCAAGGTCTTGGAACAGAACATAAAACCATTTTAAAATTTGAATTTTAAGTTGATGGACTTTTAAGTGGTCCCTTCTGAATAGAAACCACTTTGCTAGTTTCATTGTTAAAGAATCAGATAGCCAGAAGAAATTTTGTTGCTTGCTTTCTTGAAGTTCTCTTTTTAGTAAACCCAGGACTTTTCCCAAATTATTCATTCTCTGGCCTCATTCCTTCCCCATCACTGTTGCAACAGTTCAGCCATCTTCTTCTCAAAGTGTGTATCCTCTAGGCCCAGAGCCTTTGCTTCTCCAAGCCGAGCATGCTACATTTGTTACAGACCAGGCTTATACACTCCCCGACAACTGCACTCCCACTGTAGGCTCCGGTGTGTACTATTGTCTTGTCTTGGGAAGAAGTTAAGTGATAAGCCAGCAACTCTTTGGGAGGTTTCTGTCATTTATCCTGTGAATTCCAGCTTCCTGTTCAGTTTGCAGTGTCGTCAGTAAAGATGGGTGACTGGGATTATGTTATAGGGAAAGTGAAAGTATTGGCTGTGGACAGGCTCTAGTGACAGCCACTGGGTTTAGAATTGTAAAAGAAATTGAAAATAGCAGCCCTCTGCTCTCTGACTTGGGGCTTTACCTAAATTGTGAAGTGGAGAGTCACACTGGGCTGTCTATAGCCTTTGACACTGGGGCATGCCAAATGATCTGCTTTAATACTCCCAGAGTGATTAGGGGATCCAGAGTGGTTCCCTAGGTCATGTTTAATAATTCTATCAGCATCCTAATGAGTGCATCACCTGAACTGTCTTTCATGTGAGACCTAGTGAACATTTCACACTTGCTGGCTGTCCAGCCCATATGTCTTTCCCATTTTCTCCCTTTCCCATCCTCTTCATGCATTCTGCTCTCTATCAGGGTAGGGTATGGATCTGTGACAGAGGTTCCTGGGAACAACTCAGCAGATTTTTTTGAGACCAAGCAAATGGCCTTGTTAAGAAATTTATCTGTTTTAAAAACACAGCTACCTTCCTGGCTCTGCTAAATTAAATGTTCATTTGTTGTTTGTTTGCTTCTTTCTCTCTAATTCTGATGTTCAAATCACTGTGTGCTGTATGACTCTAGAAAGCCTTAATTTACTTCCACCAAGAAATAAAGCAATATGTTGGTAATTCGACTTGGTTCCATTTTTAATATTGCCTGAGGAGGGTGCTGTTCAGATAGGGACACTGAAAAGCAAACAAGCAAGCAAATAAATAAATAAATGCTTCCTGTTGAAGGCAGAATAAACAGCTCACTGCTGTTATGGTCCCTTTAAAGTTGGATCCAAGGTTCTGTTGCCTCTGTGGACCTCAGAACATTGGCTTTAAATTGGCAGGACAGTGAATAAAACATTACAGGCTGACCCAGGACTTCAGTTCTTTGTCCAAATTCTTCCCGCCAGATTGCAAAATAAATAAGTTTGCATTTTTTTAAGTTGTATTTGATGAAGCTGTAATACCACAGAGAATCTGGGACAGTATCCTTAATTAAATAGCATACTATACCAGTGGATATGGCTCAATGGAAGTAAGATTATTGAAGATGGTAGATAACCTTGTATTAATCCAGCTTGGGTGTTAACATGCCAGTTTCTACAATAAATAATTAAAATATTCCGTTTTTCCTGAAATTTATGAATTTCAGAATTATGAATGAATAATCATGGATTTTAATACTCCATGACTCTAACGACAAACTGTTGAGAAAATCTTCAACATTTTGCCATTCTTTAGTGTCTCAGAGTATTAGAATGTTGGGAGAGGGCATGGTAACCAGATGGAAAAGAAAATAATAGTAAGTTAGAAAAAGTGGAGTGTCAGATTTCTCCCTCCTTGCCTGAACCTTTAGAATTAAGTTAATATGGCTGAAAGGAAGCAACTGGAGAGCTTCACCCTTAGTATCTAGAAAGATTTCAGGAGCCATCAACTTATCTATTGTAAGTGCATTTATCCTCAAACAACTTTTCAACCTGTATTGCTTTGACAGCTGTCACTTAAACCAAAAGAACTGCTAATTAGCTTGGAGTGTTAATTTTATTGGCTCAATGCAATTCCTGTAGGGATCTTAGAGTAAGGCTATTAGTAAAATCTTTTCACTTTGAAATTCATTGACTTCTTAAAGTTTCAGCATTTGTTCACACTGAGACAATGTCTCCCAGATACATGGTGCCTTAGTTTGGGTTTTATTGCTGTGAAGAGACACCATGACCAAACCAACTCTTTTGGAATAAAATATTTAGTTGGGACTGGCTTATAGTTTCAGGGTTTCAGTCTCTTATCATCATGGCAGGAAACATGACAGCATACAGTCAGACATGGTGCTGGAGGGTTCTATATCTTGATCCTCAGGCAGCAGCAGGAAACTGCCCCACTTACTGGGCACAGCTTGAGCATATGTCAGATCACATAGCCTGCCTCCACAGTGACTCACTTCCTCCAACAAGGCCGTACATACTCCAACAAGACCACGCCTCCTAATAGTGCCACTCCCTATGAACCAAGCATTCAAACACATGAGTCTACGAGGGCCATAAAAACTGTAAGTGAGACCTGCTTGTACAAGTGTAGTGGGTTATTGATCTGTCAGACCTGGCCATGTGTTTTGGGAGGACTATGGAAGGATTTTGGAACCTTGAGTACTGAGGTCTCTCTCAGTAGGATGTTCTCTAGAAGCTTGGAAGATAAGATTGTTGGGAGCAGTGCAGAAGATGAAGGCCTGGCTTGTGAAATTTCAGAGGGAAGATTAAAGACTCTGTCAGGACTATTTGCTTTTTTTGTTTAAGAATCTATGTTTCTAGTTAGCTGGGGCTAAAGAATCAGCTGTGATTAACAAGATACCAGAACTTCATTGTAGTAGTTCTGGTATCTTGTTAATCAATTGGTGCTGGTGAGCTGGAGCTAAGAAATTAGCAGTGATTAAGAAGAGACCAGCATCACTGATGTGAAATCTTCTGGGAAGTGTTTTCAGGGCTCACAGAGAAGCTGTGTTCCAGACACCGCCAAGGAGGTTCTTTGTGTTTACAACCAGACTTGGTAATGTATAAGAGTCACCCAGGTGGTACCGGTTTTGAAGACATGAAGGGGCCATGGAGAACAGCTGAGCCATGTCACTGTGAGAGGCCAGGAGAGGCCATTGATGAAGGTGCAGCCTCAGTGGCAGTTGAAGACCCAGGACTGAAGGGGTCATGCAAAGTAGTTGAGGCTTTGCACCATGAAGACTATGAGAGGCTATTGGAACTGCAGCCTATTACAGTGGAAGACCTTGGCGTATTGGAGACGCCAGTGCCATGGGATGACCACCAAGAACAGCAGCAGTGGAAAGGAGTCAGACAGAGGCCTAGATCAAGTGTAAATCTCAGACACTAAAACAGGAAGCTGTGAAGTTGAATTGCTTTGGAGACCCCCAAGATGTTAGAGATGTTAGCGCTGTAGGATGCCAGCACCACAGGATGACCACCAAAAACAGCAGCAGCAATGGATTGGAGCCAGCGCTAGCCTAGAAGACAAGCTGTGTGTCCCAGGAGCTGGAGCCAGAGAACTGACCAAATCCTTTTGGAAGAGCCCAGAAGACCATGTGTGGATCTTAGACATTAGCCAGTTGGAGTTTGATTTTTATTCAAATTTGACTGTGCTCTCATTTTTCCCTCTTGAAGAAAGTATTTTACTGGAGGCCACAGTTGAGAGACTGAATTTTAGAAGATTTTGGATTTTAAAAGATATTGGATACAGTAAAAGAATTGAAGTTTTAATGTGTTTGAATTTATAAAAACTCTAGGACTTTTAAAAGTTTTTGTTTTAAGTTTTTGATGTGAGATCTTGGGAATGAATAAGAAAAGAAGGATTGTGCCTTAATAGTAATGTGTTTGTGTGTCAAGTTGACAAGGGGTCAGTTGTAGTGACTGGTTTTGTGTGTCAACTTGACACAAGGTAGAGTCAACAGAGAGGAAGGAGCCTCCATTGAGAAAATGCCTCCATGAGATCCAGCTGTAAGGCATTTAGTCAATTAGTGATCAGTGAGGGAGGACCCAGCTCACGGTGAGTGGTGCCATCCTTGGGCTGGTGGTCCTGGGTTCTATAAGAAATCAGGCTGAGCACACCATGGGAAGCAAGCCCACAAACAGCATCCTCCATGGCCTCTGTATCAGCCCCTGCTTCATGGTCCCTGCCCTGTCTAACTTCTTGTCCTGACTTCCTTCAATGATAACCAGCAATGTGGAAGTGTTAGCTGAATAAACCCCCTTTCTTCTCAACTTGCTTTTGGGTCATCCTATTTTGTCCTGTTTTGTTCTGTTTTTAAGCAATAAAAACCCTAACTAAAACACTTGGCTTGAAATAGAATTCAAATTCAAATTAAAAGACTGAGTAGTTTAAGAGAAAGAGTAATACAATGAAACTGCTTACCATATCAACACAAAGAGAAGTTACCAAATGTGTCAATACCGGGCCATCAGGATCACTCCAGATAACTGTGAAAAAAATAGTTAAGTACGAGATGGAGAAGAAATATTGAAAGATTGGGTAAATATTGCAATGAAAACAAACTAAAAATCGGCTTTCCTCTTGGATGCTATTAGTCCATTATATTTTGGGGTACGATATATACGTAGGAAATTGTTCTTCAGCTGGGAGAAAAGCCCTAAGCAGGTAGCACACACCACTTTCTACAGTGTTATCACTAAGTCTTGTTGCCCAAAGAGCAGCTAGGGCTTCTTTCGCTAAGAAAACCACAAAAATAACTCAGGCTCATGCATTCCTTTTTTCTATTTCAGTGCAGCACCATTTTCTTGGGCCACAAGTCCATCTTGTGGGGAACCCCATTCCCATCTCCAGTTAGCAGATCGGGTTGCATTCTAAACTATATGAGATGGAATGACATTTTGACTCAGCAGTTATGCAGGAAATAAGTCCTGCCTTTGGACGAAACAGATGAGAAATCTGCCTCCAAAGTCCAGGAAAATCTGTATCTTAGATGCCAATCTCACTGACTGTTCAGCATCCTCACTTTTCTGCTTGAATGCTGTTCAAGGGTTTAGCAGTGAATACTACTCAAGTATCTGAAGATAGTTGTGAAAGATTATGCTGTCATAAGTTTCTGACCCAAATGTCTTAAACTAGTATTTTTTGTTATTGTTGATGTTGTTGTTATATGATTATCTTAGCTGCTCAGCTCCTGAACTTTATACTGGTAAAATTAGTACATGCAAATTCCATCCTACACTACATACTATTTAATATGTGTTAATGTATAATGTATTTCAATCATTTTCTCATGAGCCAAAAAGTGCTTATGTTTAAAAATATATCACCAGGTAACCATTTATTGACCATCTACTATGTGTTAGATACTATTACACTGTGAGGGTGAATAAATACAACACAAAAACTCTAAAGTTACCTAGATCAAATAACAAAAATCCAAAAAAACAACCATAGCATTATGTCCCATACTGATCTGCCACACAGTATGTGCTCCATGCTACAATAGTGCACGCCTGTTTTGGAGGGGAACCAACTCTTTCTGGCTGTCGACGCCTGCTTCACAGAAAGGAATAGATAGTACTGTCAGCCTGGTCAAGAAGCTGTAGCTGGGAAGGGAGGAAATTACAGACTGTATGGGAAAACAGACTCCAAACTGCCTCCTACACATTGATGTTTCTATCCATGGACTAGCAAGACTCTCTCAGCTAGGGTCAGAAAAGCTTCTTTTTGTGGAGGATAATGGCTCATGCAAAGACAAATGATTAAAGTGCTAAGAAAAAGTGAGTGTTGAGTGGTCAACTCCAAATAAGATAACCTGTATCTGACCTTCTAAGACCCAGGGAACAGCACGTAAAAGGAGACAGAAAGATGTTAAGAACCCGCAGATGGGAAGTAGCAATGGAAACACTGTATCCTGGAATGGCATGTATCATTGCAATCATGAGCACACAGCATCTGTGACTAGCTGTACAAGCCCTGTGCATGAACACACATGCATGTGCACACATACATGTTTTGAGAATTTTAATATCTCACACAGACAAATAAATGTTTTCAAATATCCATCTGAGTGGGCTCCATGAAGGCTAGTTTGGATATTCAACAGTATCCCATTTTCTTACTGTGCAATGGCCACCTT